CTCATCCTCTCAGACGGACGTGGTATCAATTCGCCGCCCCTGGAGATAGAAGGCTTGTTGGCCAGGATAGAAGCCGACCCAGGATTTGACGCGCGAATCGCGCGCGTGGCACGACGAAGAAAATAACTTGATGCGCCTAGTGGTGAATAAGGGAATAGGTGTGGATTCGGGCCCTCTGTTTTACCCGCATATATACCCCTTTCCCCAACCTATTAGGTACCAAGGTGTCAAAACTAATACTTCTCCTTGTTGATCGAGAGTGTCAACCCCTTTGCACGCTGTCCGACAAAATCCGGGGGAAATTTAGTAGGAGCGTAGGCAGCCTGCGATAGGACTCGCACTGAAGGAGATAACTTGGTGTTGCACTCTGGGAAGCACTCGCCAACGACAAGACGTCCTCCGGCAACTATTCCGTTGATGCCAAACTGCTGACTGGCACCTCTTCGCCGAAGGACATGGCCCCACATTTCAGACAACTGCTCTGAAAATTGTTCCATCACAACAGTGCGATTCACGCACCGTTCATGAAGGTGTCTTACAGCCTACCATCTGCCTTACATGGACTATAAGGCCGCGTTCATACTTTGCGGCAGCGTCTTCCAGCGTCCACCGGTGAACAGCAGCGTCCAGGAGAGCATGGATCGAAGGGAGGGTAGCAGACAGCTGGTACCCTTACCGGAATTCTGCTACTCTCCTATAATTCCATGCTCTACCAGATGCCTGCTACCCTCTTACGCCCCATGCTCTCCACTCCGGACACTGCTGGTCGCTGATGGACGCTGGTGGATGCTGCGATCTTTCCTAGCCCTCGCTGGTGGACGCTGCTGACCGCTAGATACTTTCCTAGCCCTCGCGATGTCGTTGGTCGCTGGTGTCTGCTGTCGGACGCTCCAAATGCTGCTGGTCGCCGGTGGACGCCCTGGGCGCCAGATCAATAGTTATACTTCCCTCGCCCTCGAAACGCTGTTGTCCGCTTGTGGGCGCTGATGGACGTTGCTGGTCGGTGGTGAATGCTGCCGCAAAGTATGAAGCAGCCTAGGTGCTCCGATGTAGACGTCGAGTAAGTGGTGTGTCTCACGAGAGACTATCGACGGTGAAATTTTGGTACCATTACTCACAAGAATTCAATGGCACTATTAAAGTATTTATTTAATATCGACTTTATATCGAATGTGTGCATTTGGAAAGTGTTTCTATCAAGAATCTTCGTTGACCGGTTGATGAGACCAGGAGAGTTGGAAATCTTGAGTTGTGGAAAGGTTGATCAGATTCTTCGTCGAAATGTACAGTCGACGAGATAGCGCCATATAGCTTGAGGACTGAGTGTCAATGTTGACCTGAAAGAGGTCACATTTACCCGAAGGTTTCCGGAAAATTGTAGTCGTTGGGACCTCTCTAGTATTACCTCTTCAGAGGCTGAGGGTGTAAGGGGGGGGGGAGGTTTGGAGCACAGCCAGTGAGTCTTTTTCTACCAAATGATCATAATCGAAGCCCACAGCATTGATAGAGGAGGCTTTTCTGGTTGTACTCCAATTCTCGCCCATCCCCTCACCTTCCGACTGATCTGCGCGCTCAGTTGTCATGTAATGGGAACACCAGTCATTATGTCGTGGCAATAATGGCAATTCCTGATTACTCACGTCACTTTAGGCTGAATTGTATTTTATTATTATATTTTACCTGTTTTCATTTGTTCTATTGCGATAGTGGCACAAAAACCACTGAGCTGAGGTCGTAAGGACTGGCCTTGGTAAAAGATAGCGCACTATCAGATACCGTGAGCAGCAGGTTCAAGTCCCGCCTGAGGTCGAGACTTTCGCCCATCCCTCACTCATCACTCTTGGCAATATAACCAGTTACACACAGTCCACCATTCTCCACAGATCTCAAAGCAACATAGAGTTTTCCATTTCCCAAAGTAGTACGGATGTGGATAATTACCTCATTATTCGATTTTCGCCGAACGAAATAAGGAGAAGAGGGACATAGTTGCTTTTGGTCCAAAATTAAAACCCACTTCCAGGGCGAACAAAAAAAGGCGCTTTAGTAGGCCCGACTCCGCCCACACCTCCTTCGTGCCATACCCTTCACAAGCGCCAACGAGACCATTTTCAAGCAAGTCGCACTTGGAAGCAGTGGTCTGGTGATTGAAATGAAGAGTATTATCATTTTCTATAATTGGAGGCTTGCTCGATTCTGTGAGGTGAAGAGGTGGTACTCAAGAAAGCCCTCGTGAGAAATTGGTGCTACGTAAAGTTGATGAAATTTTCTGCATAGGGATCACAGGCCAGAGAAGGAAAGAGCTCGGTTCTGGTGAATCCACCACCTCGGGTAAAAAGCTGTGGTAATCCTAATTTCGAACAAAGGTTCTACAAAGTGCCTCACCCCTCTCTGCTCCCCCCCCCTCGTCCTGGAAGGTTGACAGAGTCATAATGTCTGGTACGTAAACAGTAGATAAGTAAATGCTAAGGGATGTAGATGAAGGGTTCAACTTCGAAAAAAACTTTCAAGGATTTGTCGTAAATTGCCATGGCAAGACCTTCCGAGCGGAACGAAGCACTTGTTACCTCGAGAGAGGCGAAAATGTCCACCCTTTCTTAGGATTTCCTCACTCGGTCACATAAGTGTAGACAGCTTCAGGAAAACCAAGTACAATTCTCCCCACAGTTACTCAAATACGACCCGCTTTGGAGGTTTCTCAACCATTGCTCGATCTGAATTTCCCTGCTCGATATCTCTTGAACTTTTCACAGCAGGATCTTGTGCAGCAGACCCTGGCGTAGAAGAAGTTAGCGGTTCTAGGCTTCCGGACAGGTGATGCATAACAGCGCAGGATAAAGTGCTTGACCCATAAAGAAATTGATTTTCCTGGACCAGGGTAGACAGCGAAGACTTTGTGCCTTATCTTCTGTGTTATTTTTCACCTTTCTAAATTAAATTTCACTCTCTCGATGAAGTATTTTTGGTGGGTATTTTCACATGAGCGGGTACAAGTGATGCCATTGTCATCCATTAACACAATGTTACAGTGGACGATGATGTGATGTTTGTCTTCATCAGTCGAGTGCAAATAACGTCGCCGCAGACGGTTAGACAACTATAGAAATAGGGGGAAGGGGACTCTGAGCAGCACAGGCCGTTTGGGAGCTCACCCGGCTGAAGGTGCCGGCACTGTTTAGCCTTTACTGCTTCAACCATCCAGAATTGAGCCAGTTTCTGACCGACTTTTTTCTCCGTGGACAGATTTGGCTCAAATGTTGTCTCCTGGGGTATTTTGACCTCCTGAATACGAATATGACATTCGCTTAGCTTCTTCCGCTTCCTGGCGCCTCGCGCCACAGGCGCCGGTGACCTGAGTATTTTGACGCCAGCGCCTGTAGCGCGGGCGCCAGGAGGTTTCAGGCCGAGCGGATGTGATATTCGTGTTCAGGAGGTCAGACTACCCTGGAAACAAGTTTTCAGCGAATTTGGTGATTTAAGGTATTTTGGCGCCGGCGCCTGTGGCGCGGGCGCCAGGAGGTTTCGTGCCTAGGATGTGATATTCATGTTCAGGAGGTCAAACTACCCCAGGAAACAATTTTCAGCCAATTCTGCCAACGCAGAAAAAAATCGGTCAAAAACTGGCCTGTTTTCGGAAGATTGGGGCAGTAAAGGGTAAATAGTGCCAAGGTTATCGTACTTAGGACCATTTCTCAGAAGATCAATGGCGACTCCGGCCTTCCAATGGACCTGAACATGATCTATTTGAGTTTCTCGTCTCTGCATGATTTGATTTTTTCTTGCACGCTGCACGTACACTAGCATGTTTTGCGCTGCATAAATATAGCCATGGTGACGTTATTTCTGTCCCCCAAAATAAATTACAGGTGGAATTGTCAAGGTCTCTCCACCAACCGGCTAAAGGGCAGGAGGCAAGCAGCAAAAAGAAAACAAGGAAAAATGGCGGAACCATGTAGCGCAAAACATTGGTCACTATTTTTGTCGCACGCAGTGATTGGTGGCAATTTTACTCCGCAAAAAAGGTGACCCGAGGTCAGTCTTCCTATAATCCTGATCTGTAATTAAGGTCATTCATGGAGGTACATGCACTCATCTGGAACCACATAATAGGACAAAAGATAATGTCTTCACCGTCAACCAGCCCTCTTTGGAATGTGCCATGCATTCTGCTTCTGTTCAGAACCGTAGGGCTTAAAGGCAGTTGGCACGATAAAGCGCTTTACAGATGTATGATTTATACGACTGGCTTAAGCAGAATTCCGTGACCTCGGACAGGCTCTCCTTGGCGCCTTTTCCAAAGAGGGTACCCCATAACGCCCTATTGAGTAACACTATTCCGTCCCAAACGCCTTCCTCGTCCGCGCGCCCACGAAAGGACGACCGTTCCTGAGCTTCATTCGCTTGCTGCGAAGAAAATACGAGAATAAGAGGGATTTGGTATGTAAGCGGCCCGTGATGGCTGGTCATGCATATATGGGTACACATATGCAGCCGTATCTTCGGTAGCGGTGATTGGCAAGATGCGTACGGGAAACTCGTCCGAAATCGATTTTCAAGTCACTGAGAACGGAGGCTTTTTCTTCGCCGGATTTTGACCGTTTTCACTCCGTTCTTTCGCCATTTCCCCACTGCGCCCTACCAGCATTTTAGGCCGAGAAATCATCGTGCCAACTGCCTTTAAAGAATGCGATGTGGCCTACACAACCACTTGAGGCCAGCAGATGTACAAGTCAGTGTTTGTCCACCAAAACTAATCTTGGACCAATTTGACGTTCTCGGAGGGTAGAAGGCTTGAGCGGGAGCCGATCGAGGATTCGATCCTCGGAACGTGGGCGTGGTAGGCGTGGCACTGCACCAACTATTGCCACTACATCACCTCCGCCTATATGAACCACATAACCCAAGAGAAGACTTTACCTTGACTCCGTTCAGTGTGAAGGAAGCGAAGCTGGGATAGAAGTCGTAGCCCAGGATCTCGATCACGTCCCAGTGGTTTTTGTAATTCTGGACACTCTGAAAACGCCAAATTTTGCCTTCAAGCGTGAATGAATATTCCTAGTTTAGTACACGAACCAAAATCTTCGGGCGGGGGGGCGGTCACTTAAATATCGTGCTATGCATTTTGCCTCGGTACGCGTTTCAGAGTAATCAAAATGTATCGTAGCATTTGGTTCGGCACAATACAGGGCGGACAGTTTTTGCCGCCTAGAATAGGATTATTCCACGGACACAACCACTTGTGGCCAGCAAATGTACAAGTCAGTGTTTGTCCACCAAAACTAATTTTGAACCAATTTGACGTTCTCGGAGAGTAGAAGGCTTGAGCGGGAGCCAATCCTATGAACTTCCGTGACAGCAGTAAGCGGCGAGTGGTGGAAAGAAGGTTTTGACCCAGCCTGGCGTCAGCCTTTTTGCTTACCGGGTCACATCCATCGCATTTGCCACGTAGAGTGGATGTGGAACTGTCAGACGAAAACATGAAACTCCAATGATGCCTGAAAAAGAGATGAATGGTCGGAAGGTAAATTGAGTTTTTTGACTTAACAGTACGGCCCTGGACTACAACTTCGAAAAGCTTTCATTGTTTATTCCTTTCGCAGCGCAGTTTATGCTTGATGGGGCAAAAAAATGGTACCCTGCAAAGCTCGTTGCATTAACAAAGCCTTTCGGACGAGTTTTCCGCCTCTTCGGGGCAGTGGACGAGTTGTCCGGCTACGCGGACGAGATTCCCCGCACCTAACGACGCGTTTTCGCGAAAAAACCGGCGGTGGACGAGTTGTCCGCCTTTCGGACGAGTTTTCCTGCTCGTCGCGCGGCCGTCGCTCGCGGCGGAGCGGTGCGGCGTGGGGAGGGGCTACGAGGGGAAAAACCGGTTCAAGAGGGTCACTTTGGACGAGTTTTCCGGCAGCGCGGGACTAGAACGAGCAGACCCGGCCGGAGGACTGAGAAGCAAAATGCGCAGTGAAAATGGCTCAAATCGGCGAGGAAGCCACTTCGGATGAAAAATTAATAAGATTCTCGTCCGAGTGACCTGCGGAGACTGCTAAATTCCCTAGCAACCAGAGTGGGTCCCTGTACCATCTGGCAGCTTAACAGGAGTTCACTGGTTTTATGGGAGGGAAACACGTTAGCTGACGTAACTAGCAGGATACTAGCACTACAGTAAGTACTAGCGGAAACCCCGCCCCCCCCTTCTCAAAATCGAAAAGCTTTTTCTGATCAGCATGAGCGTGCTCAAACTGACCTTTCTCGTCAGGATTATACTTGTTCCATTCGTTTGCGCCGAACATCCCCGTACGATCACTGCCTCCTCTCCAGAAGGCAGGGTACGCACTGTTCGTATGAGCGGAGTGAGGCCTTCTTTGCGTAGTAGGTTAGGTGGGGTATCGTTGACAAGGAAGGAATGGTATACTATACAGGGGGGCCAAAAAAAGTCATTTTGCCTCCATGACTTTCAAGGCGCTATAAGTTACACTTTATTAAATTTTTATCGGACATTTTTACTACCATATTAAAGAGCACATTAAATACTATAATGATACTCCGCCACAGCCTTCTGGAGGAGCGCCATCGAGAGATTCGGCCGCGCGAAAGTGAGTGGGTACCGGAGTTGAGCGAGATCGTTGATTTCTCCGCCACTGTAGACCACCTTGTTGGGCTCCGCCCGAACTAAGTAATTGAGTGGGTTCAGGTCAGGGGACATATTTCAATATTACATCTTCATCAGGTACGAAACGCCCTTCCATTCGAAGTAGGCGGGAGTTTTTCCAAAACCCTTCGATTCCATGTGGTGGCACCCAAACCTGTAGCAGCACAAGGAGAAGGTACGGGCGACCACATGTAGGGAGGATATCCTTCTCGAGTTACTTGATGTAACCGCCAGCGCTCACCTTCAGTCGGGGTCTACAAAGAAAATATCGGTCTTCCCATTCCAGGTACGGCCGGTCCACACCATCAACCCGCGCCTTGGTGAATGGGGTGAAGATGATGTCCTGGACCGTAGCGACGTTGCCGGAGCTGCTCGATGTTTGGGGTCTTGCAGATCAAGAGTACTGGTCTCCAGGTAGCTATCCATGGGTGATTCCATTCAAGAAGTTCCGCAGCTGTTTGGAGGCCACGTGAATTCCAAAGGCGTTCTCCACTCAGGCCGCGACTGGAGATGACTTCATATTTTGGTGTACATGAAGGTGAATGGCGGCAGCCGGCTCCTGCTTATAGAGGAAGATCTTGGGTATCTTCCGCCCTGGTACTCATATCCACTTCCTCTGTCTGGGCTGCGAAAACTTCGCTCATATGTGACTCGGCCGGAATGACTTTTTTTTTTTGCCCCCCCCCCTGTATACGTGCGCTCGTACAGTAAACGTGACTTCGGTCCGACTCAAGCAGTAATCATAAGCCGTAAGAACGAATGGCCACGTTGCCACAATCTCCTTGGAATACGTAACTGGTCCCAGCATCGCTTTATCGTAGGCAATAATGTGGGGGCTCACGTCGCCGCGTCCTGCCAAAGGCAACTTTCCCCTATCAATCCCAGTTTTTAACTGTGTTATGCCCCCCCTTCCCGCGGAAAATCCAGGAACTGTTCACAAAATGATTTATAGCTGGAAACACATTGAAAGAAACATTCCGCCTGACCGTTCGAGCATTCGGGATCCATACTTACCCACTACGCCTCGTGGCCCTTCCTTTTCATCTCCTTGGGAGGGAGAGCCTATCAAAAGGGAAGCGTGAGTTCAGGGTAGAACTCCGCCCACACAATCAGCGTGTGCAGTGCACTGATGGTGAGTGTTTGAAATAACCAGCAGAAGTATTCGGCCGTGGCATCAGTGCTATGCTGTTCGGTTTGAGGAGGGTTGGAGGGGTTGTACATTTGCTAGTTCCTTTTAACAGCTCACTTTGAATTACGTGTCTCATCTCGAAGGGACCTGTAAATTCTTGTCAAGTGTAAACGAAGTTAGTGTTGTGGCCCAAGTTCACAGGAATTTACTGGTCTCATGGGAACCAGCAAAATGCCTCCACCAAGCCAGAGTGCGCCGAATAAATCTGTCCTCAAACACTCTTACCTTTTGTGGGTGTCGATACTATCGTAGAGGTCATCTCCAGCATCCCAATAGAGCCCTCCCTGAAAAATTAGATAGCTGTAATTAAATGTGAAAGAGCGGTCGCTATCGTTTTAATCTGGTGGGGTGGTGTCAGAGAGCGTGAAGTGAGCCCACCCGCGGCGTTTTCTACCATTCGGTAGTCCTATCTGAAACAGCCACATCTGGTCGAAGAACGCAGCGGCGCTGGAGGGGCTCATCTACGCTCCTGAAACGAACTCTGGATCGCAAGCCACATCCCCCGCATACGGCCTTGGTTCTATCGATCGAACGAAACTAACCACTGATGGGGCGTTATCGATTGCGGTTACTAACAGCTCTAGCGGGTTGAGCCTTGACTGTGTCGTGGTAACATTCGCTCCTTGTCGGGGAATCACGTGTCCACCTAGAGTTGAGGCAGTTTAGTATGACTCGAAGTTATTGTCCGCGATGACGTCATATGGGCGGAGGCCGAGCCCAAAAGTGTGCGCTTGATCACTGGCAGGAGCGCGACGCGGCGGATGTTGGCTGTCTCCATCAACGTGATTAACGCGGATCGCGATAGATCTTAATGGAACTTGCCTCGTGCGAACACCGGGGTGAGAGAGTCGAGTCTGGCTTCGACGTCCACATATCCAACATCCATTTGACGACCGTAGCTCTCCGGGACCAGGGAGTACCAAATGTCAGCAGGGAAATACGCGTGAACGGTTGTAATATTCTAGGAAATGTAATTATTAGAGACACAATTTATGGGCGGAATCAGACCTAGCAATGCGCCTTCATTACTGATGAGCGCCTCCTTGCTGAAACAGCGGAGACACGACCAGTAAGTAAGGTGCGCTGACTCCGCCTATACAGTCAGTGTGGACTGCGTTGGATGGAACCATACCTTTTCCAGAGCCGGTGCCACCATGATTGCCGAACCCCAAAGGAACTGGTGATCGATTTCCATGGCAATGAAATCGGTAGGGTACTCGAAGAACAGCGGTCGAATCACTGTGTGACCGTCGAGAGCCGCGGCATAAAGCAGACTGAAACAACGCGAGCTCGGGAAATTCCTATCATACCGTTTTCCCTAGAATCTCACCTGTACAGGTATGGGAGGTACTTGTAGCGGAATCCGAGAGCGATTCGAGCAGCTTTCGCGACCGATGGCCATACGGCTGGATCTTGAGCAGGGAGAAACTCGGCGTTGTGATTTCTGAAAATTCTGTCGTAGAGGTGGGGTCTCATGACGATCAAGAACGCTACCTGCAGAAAGGATGGAAAGCTCCCATTTGATGCCATCGCAAGCACAGTTCCTCTGTAGTGATCCCGTTGAAACCGCAAATGTCCGAACCAACGTAGGGAAGGCCGAAGAAGTTGAACTCCATTACTCCTGTAACACGGGACTTGTCTAACTGGGACCGTCGAACGTGGGTCAGAAATTCCGAGCTGAGCGAAAGTTGTGTTACAGCCCGTAGGGAAGACGAAAGGCGCTTGGGGACCTAGTCTATGTGGGTCGTCGCCGCTGAGATCTCCTGGCTAGCATCTGAAGACAGCGGTGGAGTCGCTCGGGCTCACACAAGGGAGCTCGAAGCAGCATTGGGGCGAGTGAGCGGGACCCTGAAACTCCACCCAGGGACTTAAGAGACCACTGAGGTCTCTAAGATCAAACTTTCGCCTAGCTGGGAGAATCCAGCAGGGACTCACCAATGACAGAAGTCTGTAAGTCTTTCCATGTAGCTGTGTTGTCGCCTAGCCAGACACCACCGTAACGTCCAGAAGAAGGAAATGTTGACCTGAACAAAGTGGTCTCCTTTCTGGCAGATCCTGCACTCCATAACACGGAGATGGAGAGGGTGTGGCTGCGTACTACCTTTGAACATGACGTAGGTTGCGTTCTTAGAGCGATCTATTCATTTGAGACAGTTGTGATGCTTTTCGAGCCAGGCAAAGATATGATTTCAGTTGTCCCAAAATGGCAACATCCAGTTAAGGTACGCAGCCACGCCCCCGCCATCTCCATGACACGTATACTCAAGCACGCCATACCTTGAGATTATCGCTCCTCGTTTTCCAGTTGTGGCCGACAAGGCTTGGATCGTGGCCTTCGCTTCGGACATTCCATAGAGATTTTTCGTGTTGTAGAAGTCCATAGTACGTCTGCCTGTTTTCCCAAGCATGCACAAGGTTTTTGAGCACAAGTGCTCTCCTGGTCGGTTGTACACCTAATCAAAAGTGGTAGTTCTGGGACGAAATGGGAAAGAATAGCACGGCTGGGGTCCACGTTCACGAGAATGCTTCATCTTAAGCTCTCATCGAGACTTGCAGAGACTTTCCAAATCGCCAAATCTACGCTGGTCACATAGGTGGAATCAAGCTTGTTATTGTGGTCTCTTCGTGATTCCCTGCCTTCCGTTTTGAACGGAAGAGTGGGGCACACAAATGAAACAGGCTTTGACTCCACCCACGAGTTCGGCGTGAATTTTGCCCTTGATTCAACTCTTATGTTACCTAGTGTAAGTGCTTACCGCATATGTCTGATAGGGTGGATTGTCGAATTCTGATCCTGGACCCGTGATTGGGCATGCAAGGCGGCGATTGTTACTGGTTGGCTGTCCGCTGTAGGTGTCAGTATCGAAATTCGACGGTTCATTCATATCGATCCAAACGCCATCAAATCCCACCTTAAAGACAGTGCGCATAAAAAGCTGTGTTCAAAACGGGAAAAGGAATAGGAGCCCTCCACCCAGGGCCAGTTCGGATCATTAAGGAATTTGAGTGGGATTAGAAAAACAGAAAAGCTTGCACTGGAACAACACGAGATTATAAGCCAAGGAAAACAGACCGGATACAGCCCGCACCGAAAAATGCGTCAAATTAAATATGTCGGCTCCGTAAATGCACATAACTGGAAATCGTAAGCATGAGAAGGCAGTGTGCTTTACGCTATTCCGAAGCACTCAATTTTTCGCGCGCACTAGGGTGTTATATTTCGCGTGTTCCCTTAAACTTATAATTTAGTTGGAGCATTTTCATCGAAACGCTGATAGCTTCCCACGACCCCTTCTCTTTAGCTATCCTCGAGAGTCATACCTAAGCCATAGGACGACGAAACGTCCAGCTAGGAGTTAGAAGATGAAGAGCCTATGACATAATGCTAGTGAAGGTAGCCCCCCCCTGCCCATCTCGAACTAGGCGGGGCAACTGGGATCATTGCACTCTTTTAATGCTAATACCTCTACTCTTCATTTTCAGTATTCAGGTGGCTATCCATTAATCAGAAGGGCGAACCTACATGGAGTAATAATCAACGGTGGATATACACTCCTTATCCCTGAGCCAGAGTAGGCGTGGCATTTGAACATGGCACGGAACTGGTTACTCGTGGAATATTCCAAGTCTGGGACAACTGTCATCTTGTTCTGTGTTGGACAGAGACACGACAACAGTTGTGTCAAGATGGAAATATTCCACCAGAAGCATAGACACCTTCAGGTTAAGTTGAAGAATGCAGCCCCGCCTACCCGATCTCAGGGATCTCGAGTATACCTTCTACAAACTAGAAAGTGGTAGTAAAATCAGTAGCATTTGGTTCCTTACACGAAAAGGTCTGATTGGTCCTGAACACCCCCTTTCTCCAGATTGAATTACTCACAGTTTTATGGAAGAGTTGATATTCAGAAATCCACCATCGAAGCGTGTTGTTGGTAGGGTCAAGGAAATCCGGCATTGCTGTGTTATTGTCTGGCCAAACATTTCCTAGCATAATCTGGAAGTTTAAGTAGACCTTCGCGGGTCACAGGATATTCTGCGTTCCCACTATTTGCACCGGATCACCTTAAAAACTCACCAAACTGTCAGCGACCATGGGATACTGATTCTGAAGGCTTGTAGGTACTTGAGACTTATCGGCCCATTCGATGAATGATGCGTTCTGAAACGTTTGTTAGGCCCCTTTTCCTTAGAGGGGTTACTGTAAAAACCTTCAAAAACAGACCTGGATCCCGAGCTCTCTGGAAGCTTGCATAATCCGCTTCGATGGCCGGGTCAAAAATGAGAATGAGATGAAGACCATTTTTATGCAGATCATCCACATATGCACCAAAACCGGCCCAGTCCTTCAAGTAGAATTTTCAAGATAGCACAAAATTGATTATAGAAGGAATAAAATCTTTGCGAAACTGACTTGGCCAAGCCCTCCCGCCTCCTAGTGTCACCAAATCAGTTCATCAGTAGTTAGAGTGACGTAAGCAGGGTGTGGAACAGAACATTGCGGGCGTGGTTGCTTGATGGCTAATCTTTGCCATGGTCAGTGTTCCACGTGCCGGCTGCGCGACGTCGCGCCGCCGCAACATGGACATCCCGACCCACCAAAAAAGAACTTTTTCGCGGCAGGGATTACTGCCCAACCTGTCTGTTGTGGTTTTGGCTACTTCCACGCGCACTCTGCAACATTCTGCTCCAGTCGATAGAGCGTTCAGGCTTGTGAGGCAAGCCGATCTCCAAACGGCGGTGGGTGAGGGGCATATCGTATAACTATTACACTGGATCGCAAAGACTGTTTCACCAGAAGTCAGTGTTTTAATCTTCCCGGACGGGACTGATACTCGCTAATCGACACCAGGAGGAAAACAAGGCCTGATAAGCTTGGCCGGGTCTCTATCCCCAGACCGTGCGGAATTCCAGTGGTACCGATTGCCATTAGGTCATCTCCACTCATGCCCATCATCGTTGGGTGTTCTCCAGCACAGGGAGGTGAGGGGCGGCGAGTTGCTCTAGAAATTTTTTGGTGACTAATTTCTCCCGCCACTCCTCCCCCTCCCCATACACCCAGCATCTGCAGCGAAAAGTACACCCACCGTACACCGCCCCTGACTCCTACAGTTTTACAATTTCCGTTGGTCGATCGAAGGGTGACCCCACCTCACTCTACGGAACTTGGAGGTGGGTCGTTAAAGGAGGACTTCTCCCATTGCATTGGAGAGCCCTGATCTCCATCCTAGTTGTGGGTTATACTACTGCATAGAGATTGAGACCTGACTTGGAAACAGTAACTCACTGGCCCTTCCGTAAAGTCCCTATAGCGATTCATGTAGTCGATATCAGCGTAGGCAACGTCCAAAGGGACCCCAGCCGCCTGAACACGTGCAACCACGGCCTTCATAGCGTCCAGGTTGGCATAACCCCAGCGAGAGAGCTGAAATTATAAATTCGTACCCGAGCTCTGAAGAAAAATGCCTGATATCACCTGATATCCAAGCGCCCAGTAGGCCGGCAGGAAAGGATGGCCAATGTAGGCCAAATATTGTTGGACAACCTCTTCGGGTGTTGGACCAGGGAAGAACGCCAGATCCAGTCGGCCTCCAATCGTGCGGTAAATTAAGTGTGGGCCAGGTCCAGTGACGACTTCCTGAAAAAGGATCATTTTTGGAGGATTATAGCGCTCTCAATTACTCTTCGCGAACCAACCTGCGCATTCGAGTTCAAAATAAGGACACCATGAGCTTTGCTGTCATTTTCGACACCTAAATCAATAGGAAACTTACGGATTCTTTCAATTCTGTGCGGGCTAAAGCCTCACTCACAAAGTATAGAATGGATATGACAACGTAGAGATTCTGTGTACTGAGAGGGCTGCTTGAATCTGGCCCAATATCTCTGGCAAACATCGGCCAAACAGTGTAACGTGAAAGGTCATGCTGAAACGGATACTATCTACAAGCCCTTGATAAGGCCAGGCCTGAAAACACATTCACGATGAGCGGTATGGGCGGAGACAGAAAAGCACCGTAATACATGGGCCTTCGTACACCTTCATTAGCTCGCTCCATTCTCTAATAGGAGTACGCCGATGGGCTCAGAAGTTTGGCTGTGAGTCTCCGCCCGTTCGATCATCGTGGAATGTGCCTTCTAATATGGGTAGTGTGTATATCCCCGGGACAGAAGCGAAGGAGTTTTTTTGCAATGTAGGGTAACAGAATGGGGACTCCGGTGCTAAATTATTAGTAAATCAGCCTTCAAGCTGCAGCTAACCCTGAGTCGCTGATGAATATGTTCTCCAAAGCCGAAAATGTTCCGAGACGGAAGATTAGTGGCGATTTGAATGAACTTGTCCGCAAACTGCATTCCACCTGAATCAGATGGGTTATGTGGGAACCTCTGTAAGTGGGTGATTACCACACCAATTGAAGTGTCCCATAGGATGGTGCCGGTGGATTGCCTGATGACTTGAAAGGCAAAAATGTCACTGCCAGGAATGACGGTCGTCTTGAAACTGAGCGATTCTGTTGAAGTTGTTGGCTTGTTTGGGAAATCCACTGGTGGTACAAATCTGAGATAAACTTGAGAACAAGATCAAAATGGCCAATTTGAAGTAAAAATAAGTAAAAAAGTCAACAAACTAGAAACCACGTCTCTTAGGAACACAGAAATCAGTATATTTAATGTTGAAAACTAAGGACTAAGTGATCCTTTCAAGGATACTATTTTTTCGGCTCTTCCTGTGAACGTTAGGCCATTCATGATCGATGCAGCTGCACCCCCCCCCCAAGAACCAGAACTACTTCCGGGAGTTGAAAATTGAAACTTTGAGAAGTACATTTAAGTACTCAGATTTTTCCGGGTGAGCGGAAGTGAATTGAACGAAGCTGTTTTTCTACCTTAAGAGCGTTCATACTTCGCGCTCCGATCGCTTGGATGGCGCGATCGTTTGGCTCGAGGGTTGGATCGCGCGACCACATCTGGAGGCGCTCCATCGTTAATCAGTGGACCGCCGCTGCGGCAGAATTCAATACAGATGATAAGCTCAAGAAAACAGGGCACCTCGAAAGCACCTCGAAAGTGCGCGTGAATTTAAATGTATCGGGTCGTGAAAGCACACAACTGAGCATATAGTAAGAGCGAATTTAGCAAAAAAGCCCCCCCCCGGCACATGTGGAGAGCGGAGCTAAGAGTCATACTCAATTACTGGCACAGCTCCGTATGCTCAATTTTGTGCGTCTTGACAGGACACATTTAATTTCAGCGCTAATCCGCGGTACTGTACCGCACCTGTTTTACCCAAACTTTATACTTAAATGAATCAAGTTGTGTCATGGACTTTACTGGGCCGGATCGCAAACTATAAACGGCGCCACTGCTCTTATAGAGGTGTGAACTGAGAACTCCGCCAAAAGTGGGCAAACCCTCCGCACCTGTCGTCGTTTCCGATGGTGACGAAGAGCGTCGCCCCATTGGTTCGAGTAGTCACGTTCAGTGGAGAGATGTTGCTGAATGATTATTGACGCTCAAGCACACAGTCACCCAAATTCTGGAATTTTCTCGACTATTGTTCAATCGATTATATTACCGGAGCAGTACATATTGATTGGGAGTAGACTCTGCGTCGTACTTTATCTCGAAATCCAGAACCCGGTTCGGATAAAGCACCACGTTTAGTTTAATTGTATTTGGAGCATGTCTGATAAATTGATTCGTAAATAGCTAAGTAGAGAGCATTCTGAAGAAATGATCTGGTAAAAGCTAAAGGATTGTAAGAGTTAATTTGAAAGTATACCGAAGGCGCTTCCTGCCAGATGCATCCTCGAGCCAAGCAAAGCGACTCGCTTGCACCTGGATCAGGGAAACAATCCACTAGTCTGTTTACATCGGCTGCTGAAGCGAAGCCCAAAAAGGGCACCAGTAGTGCCCACAGTCGAAACATTGTTGACGATGGAGCACGTGAGCCAGTCGGAATAAACGCAATACGATTCGAAGCAGCAAAAACACTGATGTAGCGTTGATAAGGGAAGAAGAGCTGCGACTTAAGCCGATTTCCGGCACGGCGCAATCAGAGAGACGATAAATGTAGCTTGTTTCCAGTGTTCTCAATGATTCAACGCCAATCAAGGGAGCTCAGAGCCTGATTGCCTTTGCTCACGGTTCAACTCAAGAATCAATCATGATTGTGAGGAAAACAGCCAGAACTTTTGCTAAAGAAATATTCGGACCTAAGGACATATTCCCCAATTGGGGAATGTGTCCGGTTGCTGGTCTGAATATATGGGTCTCTAGATTTTATGTGACGCAACTGTGAATAAGAACAGTAGGAACCGTCAAAAATGGCATAATAAAGACAGTCGATTTTTGAACATTGTTCGAGAAAGCAGAACTGAAGAGAGACCGAGCGAGAGGTCAGAGGCAATATTCGCGAGAGCTTAGAGATGAGCGAGACGACAAAAATGCCTCCCACGCACACATACAGTCGTCAATACTGAAGTCAATTGGGGCGTGTCATGGGGCGTGGGTTTTGACCCCTTTCCCGCCACACACTAAACTCCGAAGCCACAGGGATCAATGAAAAACTGGCTGGCGCCTAGTCTCCGCTGATACGCCCTGACACCTACGTGAGT